TTAAGAAATAGTTGAGGAGAAGCAATTAGCACAGCCAGTTCCTATCGAACTGAGTCTAGAAAAGCGGGGAGCATGCTCCTCAGGTGATGACATCACTTTGGTAGACTCAGTTCTATTGGTTACTGACTGAGTTAACCCGTGCATGACCGCTGTTTCCACCAACTTAGGAGAATCGTATAGATATATGTCACAGTAATTAACATTAGATAACTGAAGTAAGTTACGTTAACAATATTAAAAACTCATCTTTACAGACCTGATAACATAAAATCAACTCAAGAGCATTGTGTTGTGGCCCGCCAGCAGCCAGCAGAGCTGGCAGCAGATTCGGACAGTGAGTGCTCTTCATCAGAGGCAGAGATGGGGCCAGGGCCGTCTGACGGTTATCAGCTGCCTTCAGAGTCAGATATCAGTGAGGCAGACGAACAACTGGAGCCTGTTCCCAAGTGTGTGCATGCGCAGAGTTGCCAGATGAAAGAAACAGCTAAGAACAAGGGTCGACTTGGGAGTAAGGCCACAGGTGGACAGTGAATGACCCCACCCATAGGGAATAAAAGAGAAGCGAAGGGGGAGGAGTGTTTGCAGGAGACAATTAATTCATTCCTGCATTCTTGCCAAGTATTGCAGCATCTGAAAGATATTGGCCTGGCTACTCTCCAAGTCTGATAAAGGTCGGTAATTGTGAACTATCTTGAAAGACTGTGGGAGAAGAAAGACTTTGCTGGAGAGGAATTCACTGTAAATTAAATAAAAAGATTTTATCGGGACAAGGACTCTGCTTCATGCTGCTGGGAAAGCCTAGGTTAAAATGCTCCAACATGGTTAAAATGCTCCAAATGAATTCCCAGTTAATCTAGTCAAACCTAAGCACTGATTTTATTGGAAGTATTAAGACATCTTAAGAACGCATCCGTGCGCAGACCAGTTAAGTATGAAATAAAATTGTTTACTTGTTGGGCCATCGCCCTTATTCTCCAGTATTCAGCTTCAGCACTAGGGGAGAGGGAAGGAGCTGCCATTTTCATCTCACAGGCATCACCACTCAGGTTTTCAGAGCCGCTGTGGAAATAGCCCAACAGATTCTACAGAGAGGCAAAATGTTATCGGTATAGTAAACTATATCTTAAGCCATATGCAAAGCTGAATAGTTCCTTCTCATATTACACTACGGTATTGTTATTCATACTTTTCTGTTTTTCCAATACAAGTCTCATAGTATAGTTAATTTTGGCTCATATCATAGATGATATTGAGTTGGTACATTTTGTAAGATGTGGCAACCAAGATTCACAAACTAAACTTGTGCCATACAACTAATATTCACTAACATCCACTGTAATGGGTAGAACAGTAGTTCTTGAATTACCACTGTAACTGATCTTGGCAATTATAGTCATAATCATGATGGTTGAAAGGCAGGTCAACATATAGATTGGCCAATTTTATAAACTTTTTTGCAGCAATTGTAGCTGTGGTCCTTAAGTGAACCCACTGTTTGTTATGGATCGGTTTTTATTGGAAGTTTCAAGGAAATGCTGGTTTCTGGCAAAAACATTGTAAATGTGACCACAGAGTACTGTAAACAGCTATAAATGCTGGTCAGTTGCTGAGCATCCAAAATGTGATCACATGACTGCAGGAGAAGGTGTTTTCCGATGTTGGGATTTTTCAAACTGGGTAAGTAGTTTTGAGTGGGAGCAGAGTGTCCATCATAATTTCAAATGGTCACTAAGCAACCAGTTGTAAGTCAAGGAAAGAAATTAAACAACAGAGCCAAAGGGCATGCTAATGTTAATTGTTCTGATATGTTGATGATCTTATAGCTATCTTTAATAATCATGCAATGTCATTACTAAAGGTTACTGAAGTCGACAGCAACATGGCTTATACTCTGGTTATTAACTGGAAGATGTAGGAGAAAGGCTAGCGGAGCCAGGGGAAAGAGTCAAATGAGCAATTAGTCTGGAATCCATACATGGGCACAAGAGGGCAAAGTCTGCCTTTCCTTGAATGCCACCAAACCTTATCTAGATATAGTGACAGCCAGTGAAATCATCAATCTGAGAAGATTCCTGTGCATAGGCTTGAACAATAAAACAGTTAATTGAACTCTTCACCAATAGATCTGGTTGCTTGCGTCTGACAAGTCTAATTGGTGCCTCTGGAATCTATTGTAACTACAGATTACTCTTCAAGAGTAGAATTCCACCTTTGTATAGATTCTATAAAAAGGAATAAAATGGAATCTGACTATTTTTGAGGAATTTTGGTTATATGCACCATTGAAGAAAGAATTACATTGAGGGAGTGCAAATCTATTAGTGGTCCAGATATCATGGATTAGTGGATTTAATTTATCAATTTTTCAAAAAACATTTTTATACTTTAAAAATATTTTCTTTCTGTCATAGGTTTCATAATCTTTTATAACAATACACAATTGTATGTATAATTTGATATTTTGTTATGAAATAACATATGATATATTTTAGGTCACTTATATTTCATTTAATTACATGTATTAATATTATTTCTTAGGGCTTTTTGTTTCTATTTTAATTGTAAATAATATATTTCATAATTTAATATTAATTGAATATCAATTAGATAAAACAATATTATCTTTTTTAAACATTTCTTTTTGTGTGTGTTTTTTTTTTGGCCATAACTTATTTTCTGTGTACTTTTTTTTTTTTTTAACAAATATTGATAAAATGTAAAAATAAAAAAACTAATTAAAAATAGAAGAATTGAACTATTTTTATGTTGTTATTTATAATTATAAGCATTTTTTTATCCACTGGGTTTTCTGTCTTATTTAGTTTATATTAATCACTATAAGATATCTAGGTTTTTTTTTTTTAAAAATGTATAAACTTATATAGACTTCCCACTTTTGGAGACTCCTGAACATTCTGTGAAAAGAAGGCCCACATTCATACATTATGGTGATCCCAAGAGCATCCCTATCTCTGTGAAATTGTGAGTTTAAAGAAACAACGCTGCCACATCAGTATTCATAAAATTTTGTTGGTGTGAAAAATAATGTGTGCATGAACTAATAATCGTACACACACATATGCAGACATACACACGCCCAAAAGAACCCATTTAAGAAAATAATAACCGCTAAAATCAGTTTTAGTCATATATAGGCTATACCTTCACTGGTTCAAGAGTAGTTGAAAAAGCATCCTCTAAAGCACAACATGCCAGACGCCACATTTCTTCAGTAAAAGCAGGACCAGCTGTCACCAGTACATATCTGTAGAGAAGGCACAAGATGGTGGAAGACACAGAAATCTGATTATCATTTGGGTATGACCTAATGACCACTGGAATCTGCTTGTACTCTTTCAATGAGACTCTAGAAAAAGTGCAGAGAAGAGCAACCAAGATGATTAGGGAACTGGAGACTGAAACATTTGAAGAACTGTTACAGGAACAGGGCATGGCTTGTCTAGTGAAGAGAAGGACCATGGAAGGCATGATAGTAGTGTTCCAATATTTGAAAGGCTGTCACAGAGAAGAAGGGGTCAAGTTATTTTCTAAAGCACCTGAAGGCCAGACAAGGAATAATGGATGGAAACTGATCAAGGAGAGATTTAACCTGGAAATAAGGAGACATTTTCTGACAGTGAGAACAATCAACCAATGGAACAGCTTGCCTTTGGATCTTGTGGGAGCGTCATTACTGGAAGCTTTCAAGAAGAGATTGGATTGCCATTTGTCAGAAATAGGGTNATTTTCTGACAGTGAGAACAATCAACCAATGGAACAGCTTGCCTTTGGATCTTGTGGGAGCGTCATTACTGGAAGCTTTCAAGAAGAGATTGGATTGCCATTTGTCAGAAATAGGGTAGGGTCTCCTGCTTGGATAGGGGGTTGGATTAGATGACCTACAGCTCTGTTAATCTATTAACTTCTCCCTTCTTCACACCCTTAAAATCTCTTCAGGGAATTCCCCAACCCTTCAGAACAGTTGTACAGAAGATGTACAAAAAGTCTACACAGGCAAAAGGTGGCCTTCTCATACTAATTGTTGAATTATTCAGTTATTAGATGATGACTATTGGATTCCATCTATTTAGTCAACAGTCCTTATTGAACTGCCAGCTAGGTTAGAGAATTGTGAAGAGATTTATGTGCTATTGAAGTATTGAGTCTTTATCTGCATTTCATTTTCATGTCTATGTCCCCCTCTCCCCAAGAGAGGTTCACAGAAATAATGGTCACTTAACCAGTAATAAATTTACTGTGTACAATCAGGAAGCTAAGTAGGGGAAACATAACACAAAATGAAAGCAAACAACAACAATAAAAAGAGCAGTATAACTGCTCCATTCTTTCTTGACCTTTCATTTAGTGGTAATGATATTTTTGGAGAAGAAGCAAACAGGATTTTTAGGTACTGGAAGAATACAAATATTTGCTTCACTGTCAGTTGAACAATTATGGAAAGAAAATCTATACTACCTGATACAAGAGCACCCGACTCTAGAGATGGTCTCTGTGGTTTCCGCTACACAAGCTACAAGTAACTTGAAAAGATCTTTGAGCATCGTGTTGATCATATTCTCATAGCCAACATCTAAAAAAGGAAGAAAAATATTACTAAAAGAAAAGCCTTCAATGACTTCTTGTTGAGCTTAGGGAACATCCATATTATTTTTTTGAAAACAGGTATGGAACTGCTCTATTTCATTTGTTCCTAATCTGTTCCTAATCATTTACAAGAGCTTGGTAATTATAGCCTGTTTGGTCTAGTGGTTAAGGCACCAGGCTAGAAAGCAAGCACCCATGAGTTCAAATCCTGCCTTAGCCATCAAAGTCAGCTAGGTGACCTTGGGACAGTCTCTCTCTCTCTCTCTCTCTCTCCCTCCACACACACACATCAAAGGGCTATTGTTGTAGGGGAAATAGGAGGAGGAACTAGTATTGGGTATGTTTACTGCGGTCAGTCGTGGAAGCCATCTTTACATTGGCCTTTCCAGTCTGTCACGTTTTTCTACTGGGGGGAAAATGGGAGGGGAGATTATATGTAGTATGGGTGATATATAATCAAAATAAAATTCCTTTCTCAGGAAGCCAAAGTCAACTTGCCCTGCAACTGATTGGGTGTACTTGAGAAACATCTCCAGTTTTGGAAAAGGGTCTTATTGGACCATGTGACGGACATGTGGGTGCTGGGCAGGGACTTGAACTTTCACTTGGGTGGGGAAAACCTGGAAGCTTTCAGATTTGGGTTTTCCCAGATGTGCCAATATGACATCTCTAATAAAATGGAACTTTGAGGAAACTCAAGCCTCGGAGTCTTCTTTCGTTGAGGGTGTTACATGGAACCCTGACAACTGCCTTGAGTTGCTGCATTTGTAAAAATAAAAAAGATGAAATATAAACAAACAAACAAACAAATAAAAACAAAAACATTTCTGGTCTCCTATCCAAGTGCTATAATTCAAGTACTTAGGTTTTTGAGATTAACCAAGTTTGACGAGTTACTGCCCTATGTATTAAGAATTTTGGTATTGATTTACAGGTAACCAAATTATGATATACAGGAACAATTTGTGAACCATCAGAAATTTTGTTTTTGAGCACAATTTGCTATTTTGGCAGAAGGTTTTGTTTAATCTTGATTTAAAAAAACACCTAGTATTTTAACTAGAAGCATCTAGGGATGCTTGCATGCCTGGAATCTAAGCTCTACTATGCAATAGCTGATAATATCACTGAGGGTCTATGGAGTTTCTGAGTCATCTAGGTCATGGTTGTCTCAAAGGTGCTTTTTTTTGGTTCAGAGCTGAAGAAGCTTCTTGGATGAGAAGTAAAACATCTTCAAAGAAAAATCAGAAAAGTCCAGTTGCCTCTTGAAAAAGCACCTTTGATTTGGTGGTAAACTAGAATTATTTTGATATACAAGAAATTGTACTTCGATGTCTTACTGATTGAGGAATGATGAAATGTTTGCCTTAAAAGAAATAAAACTTTTGAAAACCGAAAAAGCACCTTTGGGACAATACACTGATGGTGGTATCACATTGAGACTGTGTACAGTTTTGATACTTTGGGGTTATCATTCTGTCATTTTTTCTGTTTGCCCCACCACATTCACTAAGGTGGATATGCTCTAGGTCAGGGGTGTCAAGCTGGCGGCCCATGGGCCAGATGTGTCACACACAGAGCATGCCTACCCCAGCTCCGTGATCGGGGAAAATATCGTGAAACGTCATGTGATGGCAACGTGATGTGGCGAGTTTGACACCTGTGCTCTAGGCTTCTCCGTTCTATTAAATAGTGTTATCTTGCAGGACCCAGGAGATGTCCCTTCTCTGCCATCATGGTGCCTGTCCTGGAGATCCAGATGGTTCTGACCCTGTTGGTGTTGTGTAAGACAGGGGTCTTCAACCTTGGCAATTTTAAGCCTGGTGGACTTCAACTCCCAGAATTCCCCGCCAGCAAGGCTGGCTTATGGGACTTGAAGGCTTAAAGTTGTAGACCTCTGGTATAAGACATTAAAGATCGACATTTTCTTTCAAGCACTAGGGCCAGGTAGTTAGAAGAGGTCACCGAAGGAGAATTATTTGGTACCACTGGTTATTTGGTACACATGCATGTACCAAGTGCCCTATGGATTTGGTACACATGCATGCACGGACATGCACAACATATTAATTGATTTATTATAATTGATTTAACTGTTTTGGACTGCTCTTGTTTTGTTTTATTATTGTTACTAGACCAAAGTCTGCAGTGAACTGGTTGGCTACATAAAATGTATGTATGCATCAGAGGTTGTATTCATCCAGTTCTGACCAGTTCTGGTGGACCGGTAGCAGAAATTTTGAGTAGTCCGGACAACCAGAAAATACCACCTCTGGCTGCCTCCGCCCCCATCTATTTGCTGCCTCCCGAGTCCCAGCTGATTGGCTGGGTCTTCTTCTGTTGCCCTGCACAGGAGAATGGAGCTGGAAAGCAGGTTACTGGGGTGGGGAAGGAATGGAGATTTTACAGTATCCTTGCCTTGGAGTGGGGTGAAAATGGAGATTTTGCAGTATCTTTCTCCTGTCATGCGCCCCAAGCCATGCCATGCCCACAGAACCGGTAGTAAAAAAAATTTGAATCCCGCTACTGGTATGCGTGTATAAATAAGTAGGTGTCAATTATTTTTTGAAATCTCTGAACAAATAACTTTCAATTTCCATTTTTGAAATGTCAATACAAACCGAAGAAATTTGGCTTGAATTATTCCATTTTCTCCTTGCCTGCTGAAATAGAAATCAGCAACAAATACAAAACTATATATAGAAACAAAACCAGTTGTACTTTAATAAGGCCTCTTTCTCATTTCAGTGGTTAATCCACATGCTTTTGATTACGTTGCATGAATCTACAACCGTCATGTTTCTTTGCCGCAAAGTTAACATGTGAGATGTGCTTCACTCACCTGAATGTATGAAACTTTGAATGTGCTCCACCACTAATTCGCAGGAAAGGCCAATGGCATGTTTGAAATTAGCGGATGCCCCATCCCAGTAAGAATGATCGCCATGGCTGCGATGAAGCCAAAGAGACATTGTAGGGAGCAGGAGGTGTACAACTGCATAAATACCAAATCCTGGGCCTAAAAGATGAAAAACAGCAGGATAAATAATCTCCTCCCCCTTCAAATGTATGCTTAATTCATGATCTTACTCTGGGTGCTATATCTCAAGAAAACAGAAGAGGGATTTTTGATAGACTACGCTAGAAAGAGACTATGGACTTCTAACTATTGTTGAACTCTAACTCCTAGCAGTCTCAGCTAAGATGGACCATGGGAGGTTATGTTAAGCTACACAACATCTCAAGAACTACAGATTGCCTATTGAGGACCAGGAAATAAAAATGGACAGGAAAGAGATGATGGAGCTATTCTTCACTGAGCAGTTCTAGCCTTCTTCTTTGCACTTCTTCTTTTTTTCGCACCAGGAAGACATAAGATACAGCTACAACATTTAGAGCAGAGGTGTTAAACTGGCAGCCTGTAGGTTGAATGTCTCAGGTGCAGACCACGCCCATCCCAGCTCCGCGAAGGGGGAAACCGTCATGACATGTCATGTCACAGCAACGTGATGCCGCAAGTTTGAAACGTGATCTAGAGCTTATTAAATGAAATGCTTTATGAATGTTTTCAAACAGTGAATTAATAAAATTCACAGTTTCTAAGTTTAGTGCGACAACCAACTTTTAAATGTTTTCTCTGAGATAAACATGCATTTTTTCTGATCCTGAATAAAGTCACATTAAAGACATACAGCCTGGAAATAGTGTTGTACTGTAAAATGACTTTAAATAGCTTTATTTATGAATCTGTATCTCCTTTATGAATTTATATTCAGTGAACTATAATTAAAGATTTCCCCTGGGAAGTCATATCCCTTTTTATTTGAGGAAGTCAGCATTGTTTGAAAACATTTCCATGGTCATGTGGCCGTATGACTATACTCCAAAGGCACATGAAACACTGTTACGTTCCCACCTAAGTGGTACCTATTTATCTACTCACATTTGCATGCTTTCCAACGAGGTGGGCAGGAACTGGGGCAAGTAACGGGAGTTCACCCTGTCACACAGCATTTAGGTCTCCAACCTGGACTGTCAACTTTCCAGCTGACAAGTTCAGTATCTTTAACCGCTCTCTTGCTTATAATTAAATAACCTATGCTGACCAGGAAAGAGAGCAAGCTGTGGGAAAATAGTAACTTTGTGGGGGAGAGTATCAGAATTTTGGAGTTGTTTCCCTCCCCTTTTAAAAAGGTTTATTTTTCATATAATAATGAGCTACGCCAATTGACAAAATACACACACACACACACACACACACACACACACACTCATATTGGTGCTACTTGTTTGCTACTGACTTTTGCAGTGTATTTTTTAAAAAAATTTCAAGGGATTACAAAGTAACTCCATTTGGCATTCCCTATCTCTATTTTAAACCTATTCTGTCAACTTTAAATGGTTTAATTTGGGGTCCAAAGAAGTACAGTAGCATTTGATCAATTTATTCCTATTTAAAT